AGCAAAGCTGAGAAGGAGGGAGAGAAAGAGCAAAGCTGAGAGGGAGGGAGAGAAAGAGTAAAGCTGAGAGGGAGGGAGAGAAAGAGCAAAGCAGAGAGGGAGGGAGAGAAAGAGTAAAGCTGAGAGGGAGGGAGAGAAAGAGCAAAGCAGAGAGGGAGGGAGCCGTCAGCACCAGCCCACTTCTGTGAGGTTTCTGATGGCCAGGAGCTAAACAGACATTAGGCACCCAGACACCCCCCAGGAAGAACTGCCTGCCTGTGAGCTCAAGAGGCTCTTTGTCCAAGTGCAGAATGCAGCATGTGTCTCTTATCTTATCTGAGATGTTCGAGGTTGTCACTCTTTGGCCTGAAATGTGCGAGGGCTTTAAGGTTTGCCTTCTGACACAGATGTGGACAGTCTGTCCTCAGCGAGTTCACATGAAAGCAATAGGCGCGTGGCATAGAGTGAGCAATTTGGGGGAGGTGACAACGCAGGAGCACCAGCTGAAGCTTAGATGGGTGTGTAGGACGGGGTAGGGTGTGGGTTTAAGGGGGGGCAGTGCTCTGTACTGAGGGGGGAACCACGCAGCCTTCCCGTCATACGCCAAACGTCAGAACATGGTGTGGATCTGGATGTGTGGATTGGATCCCCCCCCCACCCTGCCCAGGATATTCCTAGGAAACTCAGCATCAGTAAGAGTCACAGGAGGACCCAAAGGGATACAGCGAGACTCCGAGGGACAGAGCAGGACACTGAGGGACAAAGCAGGAATCTCAGGAACAGAGCAGGATCTTGAGGGACTCAGAGCCTCCAAGGGACAGCAGTTGTTACCTGCCGTGACCTCCTGGATCTTCTCTCTCTTCCGCTTCTTCTTCTTTCCCTAAAACACACCCAGGAAATGACTCTAAGAATGAATTCACACACCAGTGCACTCTACAACCCAACCTCCTGCCCCCCATGTCCCAGGGTGCATCCGCTAGGGCCCCCAGGCCATGTCCCAGGGTCCATCCTGCCGCCCGAGTCAATGCTATCCTCTCTTTGGTGGAAGATCAGAGTGAGAGCTTTGGGCAGCATTATTCTAAGCAGGAAGTCTGCAATATTCCCTGAGTTCCCGATATTACAATTTGGTGGTTCATTTTATATGGAATTTTATTCAGCTGTGAAGCCCAGGAACAGCGATAGGTGAGGCAGAGAGCCTGGAAAGTTAGAGTTAGACGTGATGGTGATCTTCACACGTAGTGAGTGCAGTGCGATGGTGAGTAACACCTCAGCCGTGACGTCTACACTCACAGAACCTCCCGGGTGTCCCCAAACGGCCACCGACAGCAACCACATGATGCAGATCACCTGGCTTAAGGTTACAGTAGCATGTCTTACATAATTTAGCTGTATATAGGAGTGCTGAGCTATTTATGAACCTGAATAAGCCTCTGAGAGCTGTCTGCATCTCCAGCCAGCCGCTGACGTTCGCTGGGCACCAGCCCCTAGAGAGACTCACATCACGTTCTGTCCAGCTTCTTCTCATTAGAGATGGCCTGCTATGGCATAAATAAGGGTCTTCTGTGGTTAACGTGCGTTCAGCACTCAGGAGATAATGTACTTGACATAGACAGTCACAATATTCACACTACAGCTCACACAAAGATGAAAAGCAGAGCTTTTCTGCCACGCACATTGCAAAATATTGCACATTAATGGTAATGAAGTATGACACCATATCCAACAGGAGGATGTCATAATGTCCGTTCATCTGATCAACAGGGGAGAGGCTTTTTCTGGATTAGCTAATGAATGTCACGTGCGTCCACTAGCATGGCTTGTAAATGCACGTCAAACCCCCCATCTTACACCGAGCCCCTCAGTGGGAGAGCTTTGGGAAGTAGGATGGCACAGCATGCGATCTGGGGATGAGGGACATATTGCTATCCCTTTATGGTAGACACACAGTCACATGACGCTACCCCTTTAAGGTAGACACAGTCACATGACCCTGTCCCTTTAAGGTAGACACAGTCACATGACCATGTCCCTTTAAGGTAGACACAGTCACATGACCATGTCCCTTTAAGGTAGACACAGTCACATGACCCTGTCCCTTTAAGGTAGACACAGTCACATGACCCTGTCCCTTTAAGGTAAACACAGTCACATGACCCTGTCCCTTTAAGGTAGACACAGTCACATGACCCTGTCCCTTTAAGGTAGACACAGTCACATGACCCTGTCCCTTTAAGGTAGACACAGTCACATGAGGCTGCCC